TCTGGCAGAGTTTTGAAGGCTGATTCAAAGGAGTTGCTGTGGATAGAAGTAGATTTGTGAATCTAAATAGTGAAACAGTACAATAAGGTAACTGAGGTAGCATGGAAAGGGAGAAAAAGAGTAGAGATTACAGACTGGTCTTCCATAACTAGTCTGTAGTGGATATATGGAGGTTTGAACAGGGCTAGATGTAATAGTTATTTCTGGTGCTCGACTAGGGGTGAAGAGCCTCAAAATAAACCCCCATCAGACACTTCTACATCAGTATGTTCATCTTTTTCTCACACGAGCGACGCTGAGCCCGGTTCTCAACAAGTGTTCCTATTTTGTCACTCCGCGTAGACTGTGAGGACCTCGGCCTCAACATATTCATAAGTAATATAAGCCTTGGGCACTGGGCCCTTTTTTTTTTTTTTTTTAAAAAAAAAAAAAAAAAAAAAGGGAACAGGCCGCAGCAGCGGTCAGGGCAGCAACCATGACTAGTTCAACAACATCCTCTGCTGCGTTGTCTGGGACCAATGGGACCCAGTTGGGAATGTCAACAGGGTCCACGGATACTTCCAGCTCGTTGGGTTCTCGTCAGTCTACAAGTCAAATGGCGGGCTCGTAGTTTAGTCCGTTGACTCCTCACGAAAGGGAGCTCAGGGAGCTCCAACAGGTCGAAAGGATCCGTGAACAGTTAGAGAGGGACCTGAAGAAAGCAACCGATAGAGAAAGAGAGATTGAAATTAGAACAGCCAGGCTTGATACTTTAGAGGCTGACAAAGCGGAGTTAGAGGGCTTGGATGAGTCAGCATTGTCTGACCAAATGAAAGTAATGAAGAACAATATGCTGTCGTTGCATGCGCACGTGGATAGCAGATTGGACTTCATGCAGAGCACTCTTGACCAGATCCTGGACGTGCTGACAAGGCCAGGATTTAGGCTTCCCACGCAGTCGCCGTTGCCGTTAATAGCGATGTCAGGCCCCTTTCCAGTTCAAGCTGGCACACAACCAAGTGGCACGTCTGCAGCAGCCGCACAGACTGTTGCGTCTTCTTCTTCGGGTCCAGCGGTGGGAGCTACACCACCGCAACAACCTGTTCCTCAACAGGGACARCCGCAAGGTCAGTGGTATCCTAAGACCCSAATGAAACCGCCTCTTGCCTTCTCAGGCGAGAGGAAGGACGAARAACTCMACACTTGGTTGAGAACAGTCCTGGTTTGGGTGAAGGCGAAGAGGACCTTGCCAGAGGAGGAGGTGATTACTGCTGCATCTTACCTTGAGGGTAAGGCAGCCAAATGGCTAGATGGTATAGTTTCAAAGGCTGGGTATGGACGACGTATGGTGGACTGGGCTCAGTCGATTACCTTGGACCAGTTCTTTGAGATGGTAGAAGCTCGCTGGCACAATCCTCAGCAGGCACAAATAGCCACTGATGCGATCAACAGACTAGACCAACGAAAGTTTAAGTCCGTCAGAGAGCTTATGACTACCATAGAGAGCCTTATCGTTGTTCCAGGCATTAACTGTACTGACCAGTTCTTGTTAACTACATTTGTCAGATGTCTTCCAGAGAACCTCAGGAACTTACTGGCCAGCGAGGCACGCCTCGAGTATCACTCCTTTCAGACGTTGTCTAGGAAAGCCTTAGATTTGGAGGTCACTCTAGGAAACGCTCAACCTTCTTAGAGTGATGCGAAGAAGAAGAAGAGTCCCCATGAATGAAAGAAGAAAGGGGCCAAGTTGATGATGGTTGAGTCCAATGGGACTCAAACGGAGATCGACGAGCTCACAAACCTGGTGGACTATACAGAGTACGACGGCGAGGAGACCGCTGAGGGTAGCACCCTCGCCGCAGTAGTAAAGGCTAAGGCAGGTGGCCGAGGGAAGGGCCAACCAAAGAGTCAAGGGAAGGCCGCCTCCAATCAAACCAAAGTGGCTGATTGGGTTAAGGCAGGTCTTGATCAAGACGTGTGGCGGGACCGCCGAGTGCGTGGCGCTTGTATAAACTGTGGTGAATACGGACACACCCAGTACAAGTGCCAGAACGCAAAGGTCACGCAGAAGATACCTCCTAAGATGGGAGCATCTTCTTCCCAGGCTTCTAGCTCGGGAAACATGTGAGGCCGGTGAAAGTTTTAGCTGCTTCTACTAAAGTTGAAGTGGGTCTGATACCCTCCCCACTTCATGAGCAGGCCAAAGCTAATGACTCTTTAGTCACCCCGCAGACACATCTAGACCAAACTATACTCTGTACGTTAGATGTGTCTGAAGCCTTAGAAGATCTGAAAAGCGAGTGGTCAAACAAGGACCCTCGCGAGTCTTGGGTGGCGCTAAGGAAAGGTCCTAGAGGGGAACATTTCGTGGTGAAAGTCGATGTAGGAGGCCGCAAATGTGGTGCCTTCATTGACATAGGTTCCACACGGAATCACATAAGTCGCGACTGTTTGGAAAGGCTGCACCTACATGACCGGGTACGACACCTTAGTAGACATGTAGCATCTACTTTGGCCAACAAGGAGCGCATGATAGTAACAGACTATATCAAGGACGTAGTCTGTACCTTCTCCTATGAAGGAGGATAACTTAATCGTAAGATTTCGTTCTTGGTTAGCGACGACTTACCATTCGACATGTTGTTAGGCATGTACTACCTTGAGGTTGCTAAGCCCCAGTTCGACTGGGATAAGAAGGTGCTCAAACATAAGTTGCCCGATGGCAGAACTGTCAGATTGACTAAGTTCAAAGCCAGTAGCATTATAGATACTTATGGCTGCTTGTGTGCATCAGCATTCTACAATTACTATAAGCAAAACCAAGAGGAGGGTATGTACCTAGTGTATGTCTCTGAGAAAGGGGAGGCCGTTAAAACACGCCCAGAGATAGAACGCGTCGTTGCTAAGTTCCCTGATCTGTTCGAAGAGCCTACATGGGTCATAGAAAGGGAAGTTGTCCACGCTATAGAAATCATCCCAGAGAGTAAAACCTCAAAGGGGAGGATCTATAGGATGACTCCCGCCGAGTTAGATGAGCTCCGGCGACAACTGAAAGAGCTGACAGAGAACGGATGGATCCGGCCTAGTACTTCCCCTTACGGATCGCCAGTTCTATTCGTACCAAAGAAGGGGGGTACATTGAGGATGTGCATTGACTATAGAGGCCTCAATGCCATCACTGAAGAACGCAGAGCCTCTACCTCACATAGACGACCTATTGGATAGGGTGCAGGGATGCAAGTACTATAGCAAAATAGACTTGAAATCCGACTATCATCAGATCGCTATAAGACCTGAGGACCAACACAAGACAACTTTTCAGACTCGTTATGGTCTGTATGAGTTTGTAGTGATGCCCTTTGGTCTTTGCAATGCGCCGGGAACATTCCAGCACGCTATGAATCGGATCTTCCATGACCATTTAGATAAGTTTGTCGTGGTATACCTTGACGACATTTTGATCTTTAGTAAGTCTGTCGAGGAGCACGCACAACACATTGAGACTGTACTTTCACTCCTGCGACAACACAAGTATAAGGTCAACTTAGAGAAGTGTGAATTTGGTCGCACTAAGATATTATACTTGGGTCACAAAGTATCCGCAAAAGGGATTAGGCCGGAAGATGCGAAGGTGGCTAGTATTCGAGACTGGCCACGACCTCAAACAGTCACTGAGGTCAGATCTTTCTTAGGAATGTGCGGCTATTATAGGAACTTCGTAAAGAACTATTCTACAGTCGCCTCTCCTTTGACAAATCTAACTCGACTTGACACGCCGTGGGATTGGAGTGATGAGTGCGAGGGTGCTTTCAAGCGATTGAAGCATGCACTCATGAATCATGAAGTTCTCATGGTTCCCGATCCTCAGAAGCCATTCATAGTGACCACTGACGCAAGCCAATACGGCATTGGCGCAGTGCTGGTTCAACAGGATGGGAAGAAGTTGAGACCGATTGAGTACATGAGCAAGAAGATGCCATCGAAGAAACTGACAAAGTCCACCTATGAAAGGGAACTCTATGCTCTATATAAAGCACTTGTCCATTGGAGACACTTCCTTTTGGGAAGGTTCTTCTACTTGAGGACTGATCATCAAACCCTCAAATGGACCAAGACTCAACCGGCTCTTTCCGACGCATTCAAGCGATGGATTGAGGTCATAGATCAATATGACTTCAAGCTTGAGTATCTGAAGGGAGAGTACAACAAGCTTGCAAATGCGCTATCACGTAGGGCAGACTACCTAGGTGCGCTAGTTTATGACTTTCACGTATCTGATGAGGTAACTCAATCGTTGGTGGGAGCCTCTCAGGAAGACCCTGTCACGATGGACATCATCCACAAACTTCAGGCAAAAGACAAGGCCACAGAGAGTGAGTTTGTAATGGTGGACGGGCTTCTCTATCTTGATAAGGCCGGAATAAAAAGGTTAGTAATTCCATCTAGTGAACGTTTGCGTAGTTTGTTTTTAGGAGAATGCCATGACGCAACCAGACACTTTGGCAACAAGAAGACGAGTGCTAATCTAGTACAACGATTTTGGTGGCCTGGAATGTTAGATGACGCCAAAAAGTATGTAGAGACCTATCAGGTTTGTCAGCGGGACAAGCCGCGAACTCAAGCACCGCTTGGGTTGTTAAAGCCTTTACCTATTCCCGCTGGTCCAAAACAAAGTGTCTCCATGGATTTCATGGACACCCTAGTGACCAGCAAGAGTGGCAAGAGGCACATCTTCGTCATCATCGATCGATTCACCAAGTACGCTAGACTAGTTGCAATGCCAGAGACCGCAAGGACTGACCATGTCATCAAGTTGTTCAAGGACAATTGGGTGCGTGACTTTGGTTTACCAAAGACCATCGTTAGTGACAAAGATGTCCGCTTCACAAGTGAGCTATGGAAGAAGACTGCTGAACAGATGGGCAGTCAACTTCAGATGACTTCAGGGAATCATCCCGAAGCCAACGGACAAGCCGAACAAATGAACAGAGTTGTACAACACTTGCTGAGGCATTACATCAAGCCCAGCCAGGATGACTGGGATGAGCAATTGCCTCTCATCGCCAGCCTGTACAACAATGTTGTACACAGCAGTACCGACCTTAGTCCTAATCAGCTGCACTTGGGATGGAAGCCTAGGTCAGCCCTAGACTTCCTCCTACCCGAAAACCGACCTGCTGCAACTCCAGGCACACTCGAGTATGGTGTGCAGTATGAGCAGTTGCTGCAAGAAGCTGTCGAGCATATGAAGAAAGCTCAGCAAGCGACGATTGCTTCTGAGAATCAACATCGTAGACAGTCCTCATTTCAGGTAGGGGGACGTATCTGGGTCAAGGCTAGTGAGCTAGGACAGGAATTCGGAATCTCTCGTAAACTAATGCCTCAGTATTTTGGTCCTTGGGAAGTCCTGGATATAGTGGGGGATGAGATGGATGGTCCCACATATGTCATCCGTGTCCCTGGACACCTACGCACTTACCCTGTCTTTCATGCCTCAAAGCTTGCACCTTTCGCTGAGACGGATCAGTTCCCTTCAAGGAGATCGATGCTGCCCCCAACCATGGATAGTCAAGTAGACATCGACGACATTGTGGATCACAGGGACATGCCTGTTCCAAAGCCGTTGGGCCGAGGAAGACCTCCCAAGCCCAAGAGAGAGTACTGCGTCCGATTCAGGCATCATACGGATCCAAAAGAAGATCGTTGGTTTACCAAAGAGGAACTGATTGAGACAGCTCCTCAAGTGGTGGCAGAATACGAGAGAAAGCTGAAAGGGAAGGCACCTGCGAAGTAAGCATCTCAGCGGACTTTCGAAGCTAAGGGGGATGGAATGTGAGGATTGAGCCCTCAAGAAGGGGCCTTGACATGATGTACATGTTCTGGGCTAAGGCCCCAGCAAGCCTCGTGCCCGCCCTAAGTGAAGGCGGGCCAACAAATCAACAAGAGCCCTCTGTGCAAACATTTCATGAAGTGGGGTCCATACAGTTGCAACACGCCAGTTGGTTGGAGTGCACCGAGTCTCGAATCTCTGCAAATGTGGAGATCCCAAGGCCTCTGAGTTAGTTAGCCCTGGGCACTTGAACGTGAGGCCGACAATGCATGCTGGGTATAGAGGCCGAAAATGCCAAAGGGAAATCGGCCCATTATCCGAATCTGGCCGCAGGCCTTGACAAAAGAGGCGCAACTGCATTGCCCGGGCCCCAACTGCATCGGGCCTGGGTTCAGGCACTGGGGCCCAGTCGCAGGCTGAAGGGAGGCCGCCCACACGCAACACTGGCATATAGGCAAGTAGGGCGAGTGGGCAAGGATCTTTGGCCAATGCAGGCATTGCCGGCATGCTGCGCGAATGCGAGCTGCTRCGCRRTGTAAAGCTGCGTTGGGCAGAGGGAAGYAGACAGCGCTAATGCGGTGGTGCRCTGTCTGGGCGCAGGGCGCTGGCAGCCATAGCCAGGCTGCATGAGGGCRYAGGGGAGGTGAGGGYGAAGGTGGTTCTTCGGAGGTGAAGGGCRCTGTGTGGGTAACAAGGGAGAGTGTGGGTGAAGMGGACACGYACCTGGTGGAGGTGGAGGTCGRCATTGGTGTTGACATCATCACTCGCTGGTAGTCAAGTTGTCTGGTTACTTTCATTGCTGTAGTTGTAGGCTTAGGCTGTAGAGTAGATAGGGCGCCTGGCGCCATTCACAAGAGAGAGCTACATTGGGTTATGCTGTTGGTGTTGCCCTGTTGGGCTTGGACATTGACTCACGATTCTTCTGTATCATTCTCAAATGGATGGTTACTCGGTTCCATTGTGCTATCTGCTCTGGCTTTGACTACTTGGACTTCAGTGTGATTTTGCAATCTGGATCTCTGTGCTTCGTCCATATTCATGTTTTTTTGTAAATACATTTTTTATAAGTCCGCACTGTTCAAGGATCGAACACGTGACCTCCCTATCCGGAGGCAAACACTCAACCAAACGGTAAAGTGGACCGGGGTGAAAGTTAAGCCCCAAGATGAGCACTTAACCCCACCCCAACACGGGTACTCGTTTTTCCCCGTGATCCGGTGTACCCGGTCACACACATGCACAATCGAAGTAGACAAAGCCACCACACAATGAAGACAAATTTGCACGCCAGCCGAAGCTAATCGCACCACCCGATCGTGCCCAAGCCACTGCAAGGCCGATCGAGTGGCTCTAATGCATTTGTAAATACATTTTTTCTGTTCCTTGCAGTCCCCGCTTTTTCTGTGAAACTCACCTCCCTATCGCCCAACCCCTATCTTCTTCAACTTCTCCTTATCTTGCCCTTTCTATCCCCTGGAATCCTCCTATCATAAGTATGGTACATCTACAATCCCACCCGTCCCCCCCCTCTCTCTGCATCCCATATGTTTCAAAACTGCAATCTGTTTCAATCTGTCCGGGCTGTAAGCCTGTACTATTTTTTTTTTTTTTTTGAAAACCCTATTCCTCTTCATCCTCGGTCTCCGGCCGAGGAACATAACGTGCCAAGATGGGGCCAAACTGCAGTTGGCCTGTGTGTGGATTCCTAGTCAAGAACTGCGGATACGGTCTCTATCTTTCCCAAAACCCGGCCTTCCTCCCCCCTGTGCGTCGGCGCCGATGTAGATCTGCCATCAGGGCAATCCTGATGTTCTCTAAGGCACGTTCCTGATACGCGGCAGGTCGCACCCTGCCTGCGTCTCTCACTCCTCAACGTCCACAAGGCCCATAGCACCGCAGCTCTCACATCTTCCTCACCATCAATTTCCCCAAAGGCCAATTTGTTGACCTTAATCAAGGTTCCCCAGAGGATCTCTGCATCATCCGTCTCATCAACATTCAGTGGTGCCCCATCTGCAACTTCCTGTGCCCACCATTGCCAGAATGCCTGGACCTCCGGGCATCGCACAAAAAGATCAGGGATAGTTTTCCACCTGGCCACATCCTGCAGCACATGTCTGATTCTTATATTGACTTTTTGTGGCTTGCCATTGCGCTGTCGGGATTGCCAGGTGGTAAATTTGCCAGAGTAAACCTGCCTGCTTCCGGTCTGGTAGGGCTACCATAATGGCACATTGTTCATTCCATCTCCGCTGCGTCCATCCGTTGACGTAGATGTCCGGGAGCCAGGCCCGCTTAGCCCATCGTTCCTTTAGTTCCTCGCAGATGTTTACTGGCTCCAGGAAGGTCTTATATATATTTTTCGTGGTCCCCTCCTGGATTGGCATAGACTTTTTATGCATCCTCTGCGGTGGCCACTCCCACTCCCTTGGGTCCCACAGCAGATCCCGCAATCTTGAAGCCACCTGAAATGGCAAGGATTGCTCTTCTGCCTTTCCCCCCCCTTCACAAACTGCCACTGTCTCTATCATGGCTCTTGCTAACTTCTTCTTGGCAGGTCTCCCCTGTGCCCTCACCTCTTGCAGCAGTTCGCCCAGCCCATCATACCCCAGAACCGGACTCACCAACCATTCAGTAACCTGCAGGTTGCCGTCCGCCAAGGCCTGTTCCACCCTGTACAGTCTTTCTGGCGCCTTGTCGCCCTTGAGCTTCACCCATTGCCCCACTGTTATATCATTAGCTTCAGGAGGTGGACCCACTGGGGGGGGATCGCTTCCCTCAGGTCTCTCACCCGCTGTCTCCTCTTCATCCACCCTTCCAGGGTGCTCTCCATTTCTTCACATCTTCACCAATCCTTCCGCTCCTCGTCCCATAGGTGGCCCACTTTATAAATGCCTTGCACAGCCCATTTCCACCCGAAAGCGCCTCGAGGTCCCTGCCATGGGAAGGGTCCCCCCTCGCCATCGCAGTTAAAGCGGTTATCAAACAACAACTGGTTGAAGACCGCATCTGCAGTTTTTGGCAGTCGGCATCTCAGCTGAACCTTCTTCCCCAATGCCAACTTTTGGGGCCAAACCGTCGCCCTTCGGAGGTGGCCTATCTCAGAACTACTAAGCAGGCATAGGTCCATCAGTTCCTGTGGGATTTGGAGCACCCATGCCAAATGAGTCTGCGTAATCTCTTGCCAAGTTGCCCCCCTTGTGCGCAGCAGAGCCCAAATCACTTGCCAAAGTTGTAGTGCGATAATTTGCAGTCACGGGTCCACCAATCCAAGCCCCCCAGTTGAATGAGTTTATTCCATGCCACCCTACATATGGAGTTGCTGGCCCTCGCATTGTTGGACCACAGGTGTGCATGGACAGCCTTCCTGATATAGCGAAACGTTCGTCTGCCCGGCATGTGCACTGCGCCTGCATACCAAAGAGTGGCCAAGACCGAGTTCTTGATGACTATGGCTTTACCAAAGACCCCCATGCCTCCTCTCGCACTCCACGTCTTCAGTCTAGCTACCACCACTGTGGCTCGTATTGCCATCTGCTCAACACCCCCATAACTTGGCATAAGATTGGCTCCTAAAAAAGCCATTATTTCTCCTGTTGTCACAGTGGGGATATCCCATCCGTCCGGGGGGTCCTTGTTAAGCGGAAGAATGGCCTTTGATTTATGCCAATTAACTCGTGCCCCCGAGTACCTGCAGAAGAGTGCCAAGTCTTCTTTGAGGATCCCCAACTGTTGAGCGGTCAGGGGGATCACAGCACCGGTATCATCCGCAAAAGCTGTAGTCTGCAGTTCCACTGCTGGTCCCGCCTTAAGGCCGATTAGGCGGTCATCAGCTCTCAAGATTTCATGCATTGATTCGATGTAAATAACATAGAGGGCCGGGGATAGTGGGCACCCCTGCCTCACTAGTGGGTAACTTTCAGGTTGTCTGACCTCACTCCATTAACCTGCATTACCGTAGTTGCTCCTGTAAGCAGGTTCAGCACCCAACTGCAAAAGATGGCCCCTATTCCTCGCCGCGCCATTCCCTGCAGCAGAAATTCCCAGCGGACCCGATCATAGGCCTTCTCGAGGTCGATAGATAAAAAGGCCATCGTTTGACCTGTGCACTGTTCCTCCTCCAGTATCTGGTGAGCCAGCAGTACATTTGATAATACCTGGCGGCCTGTCACAAAACCCGTTTGAGTTTGACCGATGATGCGCGGTAGCACTTCTCTCAGGCAGGATGCAAGTATCTTGGCCAATATTTTATATAATGCATCGATATCGGTCGCCAGTTGCGCACATCCTCCTTTGCCCCTTTCTTGTACAGCAAGACTACATATGCATCCGCAAGGTCCTGTGGAAGGGGGCCATACTGAAGTGCCTCATTGAAAGCTGCTGTTAACAGAGTACAGAAGAAGTTGGGATAATTCGCAGCCTGGAGGCTGCGCTATACCCGGTTGCATTTTTGGCGCGCAGCGGATTTCCCCATCCGGAAATGTCGATGACCTATTTAGGGGTTTAGAGCGGCGTAGAGGGGGAAGGAATATGGTGCAGAAGGGTGCGGTCGTTGTCATAAGACCGACCGGTCACTAGTGCGGTCGCTGGGCGGGGGTGAGGTTGTCAGTGGCGATGGGGTTGGCATTTGGTTGTGCAGGGGTTGGTGGCTCCGCTGCGCTTTTGTATGCTATGGCGCCCCTCTCGCTCTTCATCGCCAGCACTCCTTTACACTCTGCCTTCCACTCCGCCTCCACACCCACACACTTTGACCCTTTCATGCTCGGGCCGTAGCTCTCTCTCTCTCTCTCTCTCTCTCTCTCTCTCTCTCTCTCTCTCTCTCTCTCTCTCTCTCTCTCTCGTGTTTTATGCGTTTGTGCGCCTGTGCAGCGCATACACACACACACACACACACACATACACCTAACTTTTTCTAGCTAATAGTTGCCTCCAAGACACTACCACATACCCGCAAAAGCAAATTATATACATATATATATAAATATGTATATATACATACGACGATATATATGTATATATACATATATATATATATATATATATATTATCAAAAATGCAAGGAATATGATCAAGAGTGTTACATGCCCAGTTGGGCGATGTACATATAAACCGAGAATCCG